AGATTAATTTAGAATACAAGAAGATACAAACTAGTGTCAGCAAATTAATAGAAGACACAAACTAGTGTAGCATACAGTCTAAAGGATTAGCCAGCTCTACTTCATAGGAACAACAGTGAAGAGAGTTACTAAAGTCACTAGAGTAACATTACTCTAGTAAAAGGTATATAAGGAGGCTAGTTTGGCCCTTAAAAGATAGTTTTATCAACTTAAGTTACCTAGTACTTGAAAGTACTCTATTACCAACCTACTAGGCTACACTTGTAGCTTGACTAAAGTAGGACTCCTCTACCCTCTCACTCTACAAGTCTACAAGTCTTACTCTCTATACTCTATTCTGTTACTATTCCTAAGGATTAGGACTAGTAAAGTAAGTATATCTTACACTCAGGGTTATACAGGTTAATATTTGGCTTAGGAACTGATACAGTACTTTCAGTGATACAAACTTACTAAGCATGTATGTGTCATTCCTATAAACATTCTACACATTACTGATTACTATGTTATAAGTATATATACTCTGTATAAACAATATAAGTAACTGTAATACAATAGTGACTGAGCTAGAAAAGCTTGTACTAATGTTTCATAGTATGAAATTGTGTGTATATTGTTTTACTCACATTGTCAATCTTGTTATAAAGGTAAGTATAGTGTTTTACAAGTTATACTATACTGTCTATTTACTACTTATGTTTAAGCAGTCCTTTTGTTGTTTTTCTGTCTAGTAAAGCTACATAAAGTTGTTAAGATTAGAGTCTATCAGCTCTATAGTAATCCTAATCCTTCTCTAGCTGAGGTTGTGATTGAACCTAGGGAGTAGCTTACACCTGAGAAAGAGGAGCTTGTTGCTTCTCTTACTAAGGATAATGCTAGTACATATAATGATAGACAATCAGTTCATAATACATATGTTACTACTTCTATTTGAAACAAAGCTATTACTGACATGTAAGGAAGAGGTGTACAGGTTGAGCAGAATGAGTTGTAGAGTACAGAAATAGTTTTATATAAGGTATTCATACTCTTTCTTTCAAATATATTATACTAAAATAATAATTAGATTGCTAGTCTTACAAAACAGGTGAATGATTCACCACATTTGAAGGAATGGTTTGATAAGTTGGTTAATACTAAAGTTAATAATCCTAACTCTAAAATTGATAGTAATAAGCAAATACTGGATTGCCAAGTTGCTACTTGGTAGAATTCTGATTTTGCTTGTATTAAATTATACCTCCTCTTATACCCTGTTGTTGAACAGTTAATTAGTGTCTAGCATTTGAAACTTCAAAATTTTATTCTTAATTCTTCTCAACAAACTCTTACACAAGATTTACTTTATGTTCTTTTAGTAAGTCCTTACAGTACTTATCTAACTCTTCTAACCTATTTTATATACAGATTCTTGAGGAACCTACTTGACTTTTTTCAAAAGCAGAGGTTCCTCTCACTTCTAATGTAATTCCTATGTTACTTGACATTTGTCAGGCACTTGAATGTGCTAGTAAGGATGAGAATTTGCCTAACATTCTTTGTATTACTGTTAGAGCTGGAATACTTGTTTGTAACAAGTACTTCACTCTTACTAGAGAGTGTAAAGTATATTTTATTACTGTTAGTATATTATTTACATTCTTAAAATTGTAACAGGATTCTAATAGTGTTTGTCATACAGTAATGTTGCTAGATAAGAAGTTGGAATGGTTTACTAAGAGGAACTTTCCTGAAATTATTATGAAGTGGACTGGCTACTTACACTTTATGCTGAAGGACTGTGTAGCCAGCTGGGTTGTGTTGTCACAGGATCTGAGGTTCAGTGTGGGCAACACAGTGGCAGATTAGAGAGACAAATGCAGCAATGTTTATTGTCTAGGTGGTTGCAGCCAGTGTGCCTGCTGGAGGATGCTTGTAGGCAGAGGACTGAGCTGGACAGAACAGAAGCAACAACATAGTGTTGAGGGAAGAGGGTTGGGGAGATGGTGGAGGTAGGAGGAAAAGGAGTGACAAGAGCAAGTGCATCATTATATGCACTCAATCTTTGGTACTCGATTATGTAATCACTTCAATATATTGTTTAAAAGTAAAACCAAATTATATTATAAGTCTAACAGAGTGATTGTTAACAATATTAATATATATAATTGCATATTATCTTACCAAAAGTACTATAATCAACTTACAAGCATAATACATTACTTTTATAAATATTATAACTAATCAACTACTGTTGTATATTAATTTATATACAATTTTAACATATTACAATAAAAGTTAAGTACTTGTGTCTCACATATAATATTGTAGTAATACTGGTAGTAACATTACTTGCTTCAAAAAACAATTGTAGTATAATACAATTCTTGTATAAGTATTACATTTATATACAGTTGTTACATTTCAATTACAAGCAAAGTATAATTATAATTTTGAAGTGTAATTGATATATAAGTACATTATTACATTACATTTGCTATTATTAATTACATTTGTTGCGACTTTTTCGTGATGTACAAATGAAGTACTTACTGGCTGTAAAGGGTGTGTTTGTCTAGATAAAGATGTACAATTTGGATTGTATTACTTGTAGGACTACTCCTAGTGTTGGATTACAAGACTCTGGATCTCTTAAACTACAGCTTGCACAATGGTTGCTCATCCCTCTCCTCCCAACTTTTTGTCTCCCTTCCACCCCTCCTGCTCCTTGCTCTGCTGCTTGTATTGCCTCTCCTACATTGTACTCCTTTGTTTATGCTTGCCTTCCTTTTTGCATCTGTATTCACACATCCACATTGTTGACTAATGCTGAACGACTTTTTCAATGTTTCCATACATTTGTGTACTTCCTGCTCTGTAGTGTAAGCAACAGTTGACAAGTGCATGCTTGCAACAATACTAACATACAACCACTCCCATAGTATGACCCTCTCTTTAACACTGTACACACTCTCCTTCCTCACCCATTCCATGCTTAACATCACTCTCTACAGGTCCACCCTATGTGTATTTACATTCCCTAGTACAGTGGACAACACTATATCAAATGGAAGCAGAGGACTGCCACTTACCCCTCTTGAGCTGGGTCTGTCCATATGTTCCACTTCACCTTCTCTGTTTGAGCTGGTATGTCCCAGAGATACACCTTTGCAATCCACAAAAACGACTCAGTTCACTGCTCCTCCAATTGCACATTAGTCAGAATATAATCATATGTATACTGATACAGCTTTGTCTGTAGCCTGAAGCCACTTGTTCAACACTCTGGATCTCAACCTGTGTGCACTACTCACACTCACTGTATACTGTTGTAGTATGTCCACCTTTTATCTCCTATTGTCACTTGCCAACTACTCTAAACCTGTCTAACAGGCACAGCCTCAACCTCCACAACCTGCTCAACCTTATCCTACACACACACACAATTTGACTCACAGGTCCCAAGTGACAACCAAACGTGGTGACAAAGACTACATTAAACAGCCTGAGGATGCATTCATCCTTTTCCAACACAAATTCTACTCACAAAAGAACAAGGCAGAGGCTGCTAGTGATGCAGGGATTGGGACCATAGAAATAATATA